TAGACATGGGACTGAGCCACATCCATAGCTTGATTTTTGCTATTACTTTGAGACCTGGTTCCTACAGTTACCCAGCTCTGTGATTCTCCTTCCTCAGCCTTTGGAGCTGAGCCTGCTAGGATTACAGGCAGGCTGGCTCCTTCAAGGTCACTTCACTATGAGCCCTAGATGGAAGCGCTGGGTGGGGTCCCTTCCTGGGTGCAGTGTCCCTCCTTCCCCTCTGGGGCACCCTCCCCTCTTCTTCTTTTCTCCTGACTCTGTTCAGTAATGCACATTGATGGAATCGAGTGAAGAAGAGTGGGAAGAAGAGAAGGAGGGAGCAATAGAAGCAGAAAAATAGGGAAGCAGGAGAGGGAGGAGCAAGGAGTGGTGATGGGAGGAAGGTGATTCGGTGCCGAGCAGTCAGATGAAAGACAGCTTCCCTCATTTTGTTAACCCCTCGTTTGTGACATCAGTCTGCCTCTCAGAGCCCCTGGATTTGGCAGCTTTACCTGACCCGGGTGTAGGTGGCGTTGAAGGTGTGATCATTTTTCAGCACAAAGGTGGCCATGTGCATGGCTGGTTGGCTTAGACATTTGCTCCTGAATATGTTCTGTGCCAAGCCGATGGCGAACCACTTCCCCTGGAACTGCAAGGATCTGATGACAGGCAGACCCAGGGGTAGCCCCAGAGCCACCCCTCCCACTCTGTCCCTGCTGTGGCCTTTCAGCAGTCCTGGGTTAGCAGGTCCTGGGAAAGGTGTTCTGAGAAGCCAGATGTAGCTCTGTTCTTCCAGAGCCACAAGGGACCCTGCCTGAAGAGTTAGGTCTCAGTTACCAGGGATGGGGTGGCACTGAGCAGCTGCTTGGACGTTCCCTTGGAACTTCCTGTCTGTGCAGAGGAACTGAAGACGTCTGTACCTCACATGGACCAGGAGTGGACTCCATGAGTCCTGCAACCCCACACTGCCGCTGAATTCATTTCTGCTCCCACCCTATTGCCACTGTCCCAGGCCCCAATCCCTCCCTGCAGCTGTCTTCCTGAATCCTACCTGCTGTTCCTGGAAGTCTGGCTGCAGTGGGAACTTGTTCAGAGGTGGAACTTGCATCATGGATGGAACAGAGCCTTGAGCCTGGATATTCAAGGTTCCCAACAGAGTGAGGCCCAGCAGCAGGAGACCCAGGGCCATGGCTTCAGAGCAGCTGTTGTGCTGGCAAGTATTGGAAGAGATAAAGAAGCCCAAAGGGGGCCTACCAGGGGAGCTATTTATAGTCTACAGCCTGCCTGTCCCTGTCTGGGCAGATCCATCTTTTGCTAAATGCAGGAAAGGTGAGTCCATTGCCAGTCACTCCTTCAGAAACACATGACACAATATCTTCCATTCTCTGCTGGTCAGGATTGTGCAAGGTAGAGATAGGTAAAGGGGACGTGGAGATGGAGGGACACGTCCAGACCTCCTCAGTGTGTGTGTCGTGTTCAAGAGCTCGCTCTCCGTGCAAACTGTGTCTCTCCCCTTCATCTGATTGGCACTACCTGTGGGTCAGCAGCTGGAATTTGGAGAAACTGTCATGTCTGATCCTGTGTGCTCATTGTGTAGTTGCGTGTAGTGGTGTCAACCCACTGCACCCACAAGAAGCAAAGAATATGCCAGGTGTATTGTCCCATGCCAGCAATCCCAGCACCTAGGAGACTGATAGGAGGATCGCCAGCATTTCTGGGGCACACTGGGCTATACAGTGAAGTCCAGGCAAGCCTAAAGTACAGAAGGAGAACACATCCCGTGGTACACAAAAAAAAAGTACAAAGAACAGAAAAAATATAAAGCAAAGGATATTCATTCCTACAGGTCCTGTGCCTCACTTTGGTTCTTACATGTAATATACAGCTTCATGTCCTCTTTCTGAAGGAGTCTTGGGTCTGTCTTACTGCCTGTACACTACTGAAGTTGAGAGATATTATGCTTGATTCATGACTCTGCCCTAATATCTCTCTCTGTGTGATCAACAGCAAAGGAACAATGCATAACACCAAGAGTTATCATTATAAGGAAGAAGTTTCTCATATAGTTAAAGTCGTGAACACTTAAAAGGTATACAAATGACAAAGCTGGATTATAAAGTAATATACATTGTAACATGGGAATGCAGTATTAGCTTAACAAAGTTTCTTTAAAACTAGGAAGATAGTCTGCATTTAGGTCTCAAATAGACAAAGATAATATTTCTATACCAATTTTCAAGGTTTCTTTCAAATGTAGGAAACTAAGAGAACTGTTCTATTTCTTTCTTTCTCATTACTACTCTCTTTAAAATAAAAAAGAAAATAAGAAAACTAAGCGAGCAAAAAGAAACGAAATATACATAAGAGAGAGAAAAAAAGGGGGAAAGATCATCACTGCTTTAGAATATATCTATCTTAAGAGAAAAATATAAAATTAAGTCCAGATTACCAAGGCAAATGCCACAATATCAAGATTAAAAAGTCAGAAAGTGTCACAACTTAGAGGACCCTAAAGAGACATGGTCACTACTTCAGCATGATTGTGTTTTGAGTGTCCCCCAAGGGTTCATGTGTGGAAGTTTAACCCCCACTGTGATATACTAACAGCATGGATCCAGGCATGACTCAGTTACCCAGGAAGGTGAGCCCAGAATGTTGGCTATGTGCTGGTGGAATCTGGGATTTTCCTGGACAGAAGCCTCATTCTTTCCTGTGTGTTAGGAGGTGGGGTTCTGGCTACCTGTTCCTAGTGGTTCTCTGTAGGAGAAATGCATAAAAAAGCAGAGAAATGCATAGCTACTATGTTCTGCTGGTCTAATAAAACATCACAGACTGCATCACTTGCAAATGATGGAGGGTTCTGTCTCACAGCTCTGGGAGATGAGAGCTCCATAAGTCAACGAGCAGATATTCTGTCTGGCCTGTTCCATATAGCTGGCACTGTCTAGGTGTCCTCATGTGGTGGAAGAGATGAAAGGGTGAGAAAAGCCTGTTTATATCTAAAATGTCTACTAAAGCCTCGTGTGCACATAGGTGGGACTTCGGGAAGGTAATTCGATCATGGGTGTGTGATGCTTATTGGTAGATTAGTCCACTGATCGGCATTGAAACTATAGCAGCAGGCATACCTGATGGCCCATTCTGCCCCTTCACCTGACCTCAGGGCAAGAAAGTTGTACCCACTTCCTTAGTGGTTAGAAGACCAAGCTGATCTCTCACACTGAGCCTATCCCATCCCCCACATCCCAGAGTCAAGCCCTCCAAACCTGCCTTCTTTGTGACCCTCAGTCCTTAAACACTTCGACTCCAGCCCATCCAGTGGACAGAGCCAGACACACTGCAGGTAGATGAGCCTGGGCATCTCCCCTAGAGTTAATCTGCTCTAGCTCTTTTATCTCCCACCTGGGACTTCCAGACTCTACCCTCACTGTTCTCCCCACCTCCTCTGCTACAGCTATACCCAGATCCTGGTCTTTTTAGGAGCCTCAAGCCAGGCCCTGTCTTGGAGTGCCAGGCCCAAAGACTGGCCTGGCAGCACTTAGTCTTGGCTGTTCATCATCCCCTGTTCAGGTGACCACACTGATGGTTGGATTCTTTGTTGTTTGCTGGTTCTTTGACTCAGACTTCACCAGCCCCTGCTGTGAGCTCATAACTGCTCCCTCCCTTGTTTGTGTGCAGGAATGATGATGCTCTGTGTTATGGTTTGTGTCTGGGTATCCCTCCCAAATCCTCCTGCAGTCATGGGGTGGGCTTCTAGATTTTTGATTGATCCATAATCCAGTGCTGGGATAATGGGTATGAGTGCTACACCTGCCCCTGGGGTGGGTAGTTTACATACAATGTAAGGGAGGGAAAGAGGCTGCTTGACACTGCCTTGTTTCCCCCTTTTGCTCCTGTTGCTTTTGCTGTGTTCCACTGCCAGGAACTGTTGCCCTCTGCCATGTGCGACTCTGCCTTGGAGCCAACTGAGTGTGGACTGAAACCTCCACAGACTGTGAGCTAAATAAACCTTTCTCTCCTTCATTTTGGGCGTTGGGTATCTTGTCTCAGCAACGACAGAACAGTAACCTAGACACTCTGAATACCCTCAGGGCAAGACAACATCAGCCTAAGACTAAACAAAGAAAATTACATATTTGAGTATAATATTGGTACATCCCTTGTTACTCACTTATGTTGTCTTGAACCCTGGATTGTGTGATTACTGTATTGTCTTGGCTTGCCAGTAAAAGTAGGACCTTCTAGAATCCCAGTGCTCTTTCCCTCTTGAAACGGGAGTCCTCTTATACCTGTGCTGCTTGCTTGGTCATTGATCTCTTTCTTTTTTATTCTTTGCTGTATCCCCTAAGTTAGTTTGCAGGCTGGCTCCTGCATTTGGCCTCTGAACAGGGACATGAAGAGGGGAGGTCTCACTGGAGTGGGGAACAAGACAGATGATAGGGAATCCCATGGGGAGGAATCCAAAGGCAGAGCAGCAAAGGCTCTAAAGAACCATATGCACAGTTCTTCACAAGGCTTCAGGTAGCTGTACAGATGAAAAGTCTTCTTCATCATGCTGCAGAAATTATTGTTTTGAAACTGGCATTTGAGAATTCCAGCGAAGATTGTAAAAAAGTACTGAACACAGTTAGAGCAACAAAAAAATTGTGTGACTATCGTAAGTCATCTCAAGATGGATGCAGAGAAAGCTATGAGTTCCATGTTGGTTCAGGCTATGTTAAGCCTCACTAAATGAGGAAATAATAATTCATCTGTGCAATGTTTCAGTTTCAGTCAAAGTGGATCTATTAAAAAGTAGTGTCTTAGTCCTGCCAAAAAAGGAGTCACCATACCCCCTACCACAGAAGAGAAGACTCATCAGTTATGTCCCAGATATGCCAAAGGAAATCAATGGGCAAAAAATTGTCATTCTAAATACCACACGGATAGGACTGCTCTGATGGGAAATGGGAATTGGACCTATCGGCAGGCCACTCTAGCAACAGGGGCATTTACAATTCAGGCACTCAGTGCCAATCCCCAGTGGGTGCCCAGCGGGACACATTCTTCACTCTTGGGTGCTCTGGAAGCACATAACTAGATTTTCCTGTCACTCAGAAGGACTCCCTTATTGCAGGGAACCAACCCATAAAAATTCCTGCAGGGATATGGTGACCTCTCCCTGAAAGAATAAGGAGATTAACACAGGATCAATTTACAAAGGATAACAATGACCCTCCAGAGTAGTTGACTCAGATTGTACTGGTAAAATAGTGGCACAACCCATGGATATTTGGGTGTTTGAACTGGGAGATTATGTAGCTCAACTTGAGGTATTGCCAACCACATCCCTGCTGCATGTTGCGAGGCCTCAGTGAGCATGTCTTGGATTGACAACTGGTGGTCAACTAGCTGAACTGAGGAGGCATGGTGCTGGGTGTGGGAGGCCCACCTGAGGATTGTTGTCAGCAGAATAAGAGGCAGAACTTGAGAAGAAGTTAGGCTGTTGAGAGCTAAGAAAGGCTGCTGGGAGCTGGTAGAAGCTGCTGAGAGCCTGTTGGAAGTAGAGAAAAGCTGTAAGGAGCTGCTGGTTTTCTTAGAGGAGCTTGTCACGCTGGCTTTCCTGATGAATTTGGCTGTTTTCATCCTCCAAGAAACTCGGGAACCTGTCATTGAGAATGGCTTCAGTTCACTTTGGGGGAGCTGTAGTCCTCACTCAGCATCGCTTCCTGGCTCCAGAGGGGAAGAAGGTGCACAGCTCTGTCTCCTGAAGAAACTTGCTGCATTGGCTTTCCTGATGGGAACTCAGTTGTCTTCACTATCGGAGGAGCTCAGGACATCACTGTTGCTGAGGATGGCTATGATACCTTTTGGGGGAGCTCTGGTTCTTACTTTGCACATAGCTTCCTGGCTCCAGTGCAGATCACTCAGTCTGCTAGCACAGATCCTTCATCCCACTGGCACAGATTTTCTAGATTCCACCACTGATCTTTGAGCCTTCCCACCACAGATTCATGAAACAGGCCTGAATGAGATATTGTTATGTGCTCTAGGCCTCCAGTTGGACTTGTGAAAGGCACTGTTATGAGCTCTAGGTCTTCAACTGGACTCATTCAGGACATTTCCATGGGATCCAGGCCCTCAGCTAGATTGCTTGGTCTTAGTGTATGGATACATTTCCTGCACTCTTTTGTATATCATTTCTGGGTGACTATTATAAATAATCTTATAAACTATGCATCCTGTGTTATATTGTTTCCCCTTGCCAAAGAAAACCCC